ACAGCCAACACGGCTGCACTAAGAGCAAATCCTGCCTGAATAATTTGGTGGCAATCTATGATGAGGTTACAGCATTGATGGATAGGGGAAGAACAACTGACATCATCTACCTGGACTTGTCCAAAGCATTTGATACTGTCCCACGCAACATTCTTGTCTCTAAACTGGAAAGACATGGTTTTGATGGATGGACCACTCGGTGGATAAGGAATTGGATGGATGGTCATACTCAAAGAGTTGTGGTCAATGGTTCAATGTCCAAGTGGAGGCCAGTGACGAGTGGTGTTCCTCAGGGGTCAGTACTGGGACCAGTGCTATTTAACATCTTTGTTGGTGACATGGAGAGTGGGATCGAGTGCACCCTCAGCAAGTTTGCTGACGACACCAAGTTGTGTGGTGTTGTGGACACGCTAGAGGGAAGGGATGCCATCCAGAGGGACCTTGACAGGCTGGAGAGGTGGGCCTGTGTGAACCTCATGAAGTTCAACAAGGCCAAGTGCAAGGTCTTGCATGTGGGTCGGGGCAATCCCAAGCACAAGTACAGGCTGGGCGGAGAATGGATTGAGAGCAGCCCTGAGGAAAAGGACTTGGGAGTGCTGGTGGATGAGAAGCTCAACATGAGCCGGCAATGTGCGCTGGCAGCCCAGAAAGCCAACCATATCCTCGGCTACATTAAACGAAGTGTGGCCAGCAGGTTGAGGGAGGTGATTCTGCCCCTCTACTCTGCTCTCGTGAGATCCCACCTGGAATACTGCATTCAGCTCTGGGATCCCCAACACAAGAACAACATGGAGCTGCTGGAGCGAGTCCAGAGGAGGGCCACGAAGATGATCCGAGGGCTGGAACACCTCTGCTATGAAGACAGGCTGAGAGAGTTAGGGCTGTTCAGCCTGGAGAAGAGAAGGCTCCGGGGTGATCTTATAGCAGCCTTCCAGTACTTAAAGGGGGCCTACAGCAAAGCTGGAGAGAGACTTTTGACAAGGGCATGTAGCGATAGGACAAGGGGCAATGGATTTAAACTGAAAGGGGAGATTTAGATTGGATATAAGGAAGAAATTTTTCACTCAGAGGGTGGTGAGGCAGTGGAAAAGGTTGCCCAGAGAAGTTGTGGATGCCCTATCCCTGGGAAGTGATCAAGGCCAGGTTGGATGAGGCTTTGGGCAACCTGGTGTAGTGGAGGATTTCTCTGCCCATGGCAGGGGGGTTGGAACTAGATGATCTTCGAGGTCTCTTCCAACCCAAACCATTCTATGATTTTATAGGAGCAATGCATTTGTTTATCAGGGCAAAGCTACTATCCGTCGGGACGCTACTGCTCTTTTTGATCCTCCTCATTCTTACTTGACTGTGCACCACACCGTGTAAGTCAGAACTCACATGATTTTTTTTTTTTTTCAAGAAAGCCTACCTCTGTAGTGGTCCCAATGTCAGCAGATGGACTGTATGTGCTGGTATCTGGTGGAGCGGTACCAACGCTACTTTTAACTGGAGAGCTTGGGGGAGCAGGTCCTGTCATCGTTTCAGTATAGACAGAAGATTGATACAGAATTCCTTTCCTCTGAATTTTATTGCAAACTTTACTTGTGATCTCAGCCAGTTCATACAGAAGCTGCACCTAAAAGAAAAAGTAAGAAACCTTTTTTAAGATGAAGCTTTCCTTAATGAGGTGAATGAAAATCATCAAAGTCCTCCACTGAGGCTTGGAATGTAGCAGAACTGAACCTCTCACCATTTATAATGTTCTGATAAGCAACTACATTGCAATTAAAATAATTAACATCATTTACAGTATAGCGATTTTGATAAAAACAATCTGTGCTTTGTCTAAACATGTAGTATGTAGCTCATAAAAACATAACCAAAGCATGGTCTTGTACAACTTTTACTAGCATGAATTTTAACAATTTAACAAAGGTAATTTATGGTATATTCCATATGTATAGATACTGCGTCTAGAAAAAGGCAAGCATATAAAATCTATGAAATTATTAACAATGCAAAAATTATTCATTTAAATGGTATTAATATAATGATCCCATGCAGCATAAGAAGCCGTTCTACGTTTTAGGAAGAATATCCACTATCAAACTCAATAGTCTCCTGAGATATGTCATTCCAATATTGAAGAAACACACTGTTTAACTTGCAAATTGTTTGACTCGGTCCTAAGATATTTACACAAGTTTTTGTAAATAAGCATTAATCACGGAATTTGTATGACAACATACTGCAATATACTATATAAAACAAACTCGGAGAAAACTGCAAACAATATATAAGCAGATCCACAGCTGGATACCATACCCAACTTGCCATTATAAAAAATGGAAATTCTCATATTTATAAGAACTTTAAGCCTCAGGACACATCTACTCTATGAAGCTGGCTTCTTATGTGGGTAGAACAGACGCAGAAACACACTGTTGTCAATCTACATTTGATATAAAACAGTACTTGATTTTGTGCGTGAGAGTGTGTGATGAAGTTTCAAAGTATATGCTACAGTCCTTTCTTAAGAGGTGAAGTGCGGGAATTTTATAAAAACCTTCTTAATTCATCACGGATTTTCTTTTGAAGTTTCAAGGCTTACACTGAGCAGGTCATATCCCCTTTTGACAGAATTTTTCCTTAAAGGAGATAAACTTCTCAGTACTTTTTTCGTCTTCATATACAGAGCAATCTACAAACAAACAATAACTCTGTCTGTGGCAAAAAGTTCTTTTAGTTACGCTTTGAAATACTTGGTGTCTGTAGCACTCTGATATGCACTGGCAGCCTCTAAATTACTAACTAAAAATTTCTAAGTTTTCCTGAGTCTTTTCGATGTAACGCAGGAAGATCAACCAGTAATGTCCATCTCATTGATTGAGTAATACAACATTAACTGGTGTTGGCACTTTTCTGGTTATTTAATAGGATACAGTCACATATCCAAATCATACATGCTCGCAATCTCCCCTCTCTCAAAATATTTTTTGGTCAAGAAACTAAAGGATAATTTAAGCTACGCTTGTCTTAATGAAGCAGGGTTTCCAGAAATTTAATTATGCTACTGTTCATAAAGGCGCAAAAGAAGGAATGATGCAACTTCTGTGTTTACATACATGCTCATGCAGAAGGTAAAGAGGTCTGTCATCAGCTAATCCAACAATGAAAAGCTTAAAACTTCTTGGAGTTGCAACAGTCACAATTATTAAAGCTAATAATTACTTATGTTATCAGGGAGATTTTTTAAAATTACTCAGGCTAGAATCTTTGCAGTCACTCTGAAACAGTGGCTATTTCAGGCAGCGGTAGCCATCTCTCCGAACATTGTCAGCAATCAGACAGACAAATAGTATGACCCTAATACTCTGCCCTGATCTGAAACCAGAGACAAAACAAGTTCACCAAGAAAAAAGGCACACTTAGGTTAAAGGAAATTATTTTCATGGAGATACGTTAAAAAGTAGAAAATATCAAAAAGCCTCACAACAAAGCGTCATTAAAACAAAAAAGGTGGCACATGTCTATATGTAAAAAAAAAACCCACTTCAGATAAAGAGTTGAAGTTATGTCTTTGATTATTTTTAATACACTTAATTTTATTCCATTGGTTATTACTTATTTAAATGGAAGGATTTCTACTTCTCTTGTTGGCTGCGCTTTTTCAAGTAAGTAGTCTTAATATTTTGAAAATCCATTTCTGACTATATTAGAAGAGCTAATGTAAACGTAAGGCTTCTCTCCTTTACAATTATTTTTGAGCATAACAGTTAATATATAATAGATATTTTTAGTACACTCTATTCAAGAGAAGACAAATGGTATGACAAAAATAGGAATAACTCTGCCAGTATTTGTTAAGAAAAGTTTCCCTCTCTCACTGCTTCCACTCCCTCTCCAGCAAAACCACACATAACTCAGTAAGACCCCACTGACTACTTGGCAAAATATGTAAAGTTCAATATGTTACAGCATTTTATAGTTAAAAAATAACATACTACTACAAAATTGGAAACTACAACAAAAGGCAATATCCTGGCACTTTTGCACACTGGAAGTATCTATTGACTTTAAAAGGGATACAACCATCAGAACATGGTTTCAAATTAAATCATAATAGCCATATAGTAGAATACTTCACCTTTGCCACCATTTAACAAATTTACTAAGTATCATCTACTTTAAGGCTGTCATCTATAGACAAAATACAGCCCATCATTCTAAAGAATCAAATTTCATAGTTACTCTACTGTGAATTTATAACTATCAAATGCTGTTTATGTAATTGTATTTTCCATCTTCTGTTCTTCAACATCTGGCTAAAGATTGATGGTTTTCTTCCCCTTCTGCATAAGTAAAGCAGAAAGGACAAGTAAGGCAGATGTAAGGGAGAAAGTATAGCTGAAGAACTTTTACTAAACTCAAATAATTTGTCCACATTCTATTGGCCATTGTAATATTTCACAAAATGAATAACATCACAGTGTACAAGGACATCCTTTAAGACAACAATATTTGGTCTGATATTCCACTGTACAACTTCATTTTAACATGTCAGTACACTCATAATATGATTTACATAGAGTTTACCATTTAAATTCTTTAGTGCAAATATTTTCTTACAGTTTGCAAACCAAATGATTTGATTTTGGTAGGTTAGCTTGATAACATGTTTTACTTACTCCATTTTTCTTTTTAATTTGCAACCCAAATTTGGATAAGGCTTCCACTTATAACAATGTCATTCTGCTTAAAAATTAATACTATTAATGTATTACATATCTTAAGCATGAATAATACATTTGGAGATTTTAAAAAAATCAGTTGGTCAGACAATTTGTGGGAATTTCACTGAGAGTGTAGAATCAAATGTATCAAACTATTTTGTCAAAATATTTCCAATTAGCCGAATAGTAGCAATATCAAGATGAATTTTGTACAGTTCTATGAAAATTAATACAGAATAAGGCACGTTTCCATAGGCTATGAAATTATTGCATATGAATTCATTAAACATTATGGAAATACCGCAAAGTCGGAAAGTAGAGCTTTCAGAAGTCTTCAAATATAAAATGTAACATTGTCAGCAACATCAAAATTTTGTCTTTTCCTATTTATACATTTATAATAAAGTGACAAGCCTTTATGTGCAAACAGACCTGTCATACAGCTTTACAAGTCTGAGTAGACATTGTCGAGGCTGCTTAATTTCAAATTTTAATTCGCCATGTCTCACTCTATCAACCCTCTTCTCAGTGAGTGTGAGCCCATCTAGCACAGAAGACAACAGCATATAGAAAAGGAGTCAGAACTTGGATAGAAGGCACTGAATGGGACAAGAGACCACACATCGAGGATAAAACAAATACATAGTTTAAAACACTTGTTTCATTCATAGAACATGGAATGAGGCAAGGGAAAAATTGCATGCAACTGAGAAACATATTGTAATCGAGCACACACAAGAGATAACATTAAAATTACACCAGTCACCTTGGCTTTAGTATTCCCAGACTTAAGCCATAGGTCCATAAACCTTTACAAACATGATGTGCTGCCTGTCAGATCAACTTTGTGTTCTTTCCCGTTCTTTCTATTATGTGAAGCGATAAACAGTCCATTTTGTCCATGATGTCCTTTGAAAAAATTTTACATACAGCTAAAACTTTGGAGCAGACAGTGGATGAATGCAGAGTCCTACTCAGACCTCAACAGATTTGCAATTCCCAAGAACGAGTGTTCTCTCCAGCACCACTGGAAATGTTGCAACTGCCAGCAAAGCGTTATTCAAGTTGCAATAAAGATTACTCAGTTTTGCATAGAAAACGTACTCTATTTGGAACAGCAAACTTGATCCAGGTCAGTAAAATACAGGGTGCACTTTCTGAAAATCTAGTAACATCTTGCCTTTTAATAAACATAAATTAAGTGGTAACTTTTGTTTACACATATTCATCTGTTGGTTTTTTTTTTCCTTCAACAAGGATACCGTTGTTTGCCTAAAAAACATTTTGTGTTCAAAGAAATGTTAGTTCTATGAAAATATGGTAAAAAATTACATTAAACCACTTCAATATATGAATCGACAGTGACAGTAGAACAGCACTATAGCATTTAATGGTACATCTGCAATTCATTTCACTCCATCAGCCAAAAGATGCTTTTATACTGTAGCTATTACATTTTGAGAAGAGTTTAAATTACAGAACTTGAGAGAGCTTCAAAGTAAATGTTAATCTAAGCACCTTGATCTTGATGGCCCAGTTAAAAAAAAATTAAGATAGAAGAGACCCTCTTCAAAAAAATGCAGAACAACTGTACTTAAATTGAGTTATTTTTAATTTCCTTTCATAAATCAATTAAACATACCAACCTGGGGGTTGGAGCATTTTATTTCAAGAGACTCAAGGTCGACATGGAGGCAGACAACAAATGAGTGTCTGGCTTCTGGCCCCGAAGCAAGCAGTTTCTGCGAAGTAACAGCTAACGTGGAAGTACAGCCCATTGGTTCCACTAAATTAAGTGTCATCTGTTGTCCAAGGAGAGTATATATACTGAAATGATGCAGACTAATCGTCCACGGAAAAGCATCACCTAATGAGTAAGAAGAAGGGAAAACAGTTAAATCATTGCATAATAAAAACTAGGCTATTGTTTTCTCAAAACTCAGTAAAGGCCATCCTAAACCCCCTAAGAATTCAGCAAGTGCAATCAACAAAAAATTAATTGATCCTAAACTCTCCCAAATAGAATTCAACCATCAATTCCATTCTGTATCTTGAAATCTAAACAAAAGGAATAAATTTTTTACAACTTCTTAAAAAAATTGTATCCATTGGGAATTTTAACCTCAAATGGTGAACAAAAGTGTACAACATAGTCTTTAAAGAACATTATTTTTGCTTTATAGGATTTTCCTCAAACTGAGGAGTATCCTGAAACCACTCTCCACTTATTTCAGCATATGGATGGCAGAGGCAGTTCCTTACATATTACACTTATATGTGTTTCCAGATTTTAATACTAAAGAGGAGAATTACCTTCCAAAAATTTACAGCTTGCTTCTCAACAGAGTGGTGCCACTGTCTAAAGCCTATCCCAATGCACTGCTCACGTAAGTGAGACCTTGACCACAGTGCGGCTCTTTCCACTGCCTCCGCTTAACTTTCTAGGAACAGAATGGTGATGGATTTTGCAAAAAAAAATTACTATAGACACACACTGAGCACTTAATTTCTTATATTTAGGAGAAAGCCTACCCAGAAGTGTCTGGCAGCCTAGCATGAATTATTATTGAGAATAATCAGTGAAGGAATTGGCAGGGTCCAGCTGAACAACAAAATGGCTGCAATTTCAGTACAATTCGTTTTCTTTAGATTATCAATAGATGGGAAAGAAAAGGAGAAGTTTCCAAAGCAGGACTAGAGAGAGAATCATTTGCGTAGGTCTGTAAAAGGCCTAAGGGAATTCTTTTTAGTGAAAGAAAACCTTCAAGAGCTCTACTAGCTGGAGTTGAAAGGAACTGAGAATACAGACTACGGAAACTGAAGCAGAAGCCCTGTGGTGGGTTTGGCCACCAGGTGCCAACCAAGCCACTCTGTCACCCCACTCCTCAACTGGACAGGAGAGAGAAACTATGACAAAAGGCTTGTGGGTCGAGATAAGGATAGGGAGATCACTCGGCATCTACCATCATGGGCAAAACAGATTCGACATAGGAAAATTTAATTTATTGACAATTAACATCAGAGTAGGATAACGAGAAATAAGAACACATCTAAAACCACCTTCCCCTCCTCCCTTCTTCCTAGCCTGAACTTCACTCCCAAATTCTCTATTTCATTCCCACTGAGCGGCACAGGGGGATGGGGAGCAGGGGTTGTAGTCAGTTTGTTATACGTTGTCTCTGCTGCCTCTTCCTCCTCACACTCTTCCCCTGCACTGGCGTGGGGTACCACCCACGGGAGACAGTCCTTCAAGAACTTCTCCAACGTGTGTCCTTCCCCCGGGCTGCCATTCTTCACAAACCGCCCCAGCAGTGCACCCGCTCTGGTGTGGTGGGGTCCTCCATGAGCTGCAGAATGGATACCTGCTCCACCATGGACCTCCATGGACTGCAAGGGGACAACCTGCATCACCAGCTGCAGGGAAACTTCTGCTCTGGCATCTGGAACACCTTCTCTCCCTCCTTTTTCATTGACACGGGTATCTGTATAGTTGTTTCGCTCACATATTCTCACTCCACTGTCTCAGCTGCTGTTGTGCAGCAGTTTTTTTCCCTTCTTAAATATGTTACCACAGAGGTGCTATCAACATCGCTGATTGGCTCAGCCTTGACCAGTGGCATATCTATCTTGGAGCCATCTGGAACTGTCGGACATTGGAAAAGCTTCTGGCATGGCATCTTCTCACAGAAGCCACCACTGCAGTCCTCCCTGCTACCAAAACCTTGCCACGTAAACCCAATACAATCCCACATATGATAACTGGGTCCTGGAGAAATAATTTAGGCACTGCAAGAGACACTGAAACAAAATCCAAAGAATGCTCAACAGAAGTGAGGAAAATGAGACTATGAAAGATACATGGGTAATCATCATTTTACTTGAAACATAGAGTTTTTTGCTCTTTAGCAGTACAAGAATGTAACAATTATTTCTGTATTTTTTTTATCCTCTAAAGAAAGTCTTCATTGTTCCATTTATCAGATTTTCTACTGAGGAAGTTGGGCATTTTTGTCCTCACTTGAATGACAGTCTGTGCTCAATATGTGAATTTTCAATCCATTAAGAGAAACTGGCTGCCCCAATTCAAAGTAACATAAAAGTGGCTGAATGCAGTCTCAGATCCAAACACAGTAGGCTGGTGAGCATCCACAAACCTCAGCCTGGGCTGAAACACTCTTCCTCTTTGTGCAAAGAACATTCATCTGGAGGAAGAGAAGGAAAAAAAGTTCTCCCTCCTATATCAAAATTCAGAAGATTATTTAGTATAAGGATTTATTTTGCCAGATTTGGGCACAGAGTCATGGGTAAGAAGAGTCCAAATTAATCTAATATCCCAGAAGCACGGGAGCCAGTCTTGAGAACCAGAATAGAAGAATGCAAATACAAATGTACACTGAGACGGGCCCTTGGAGTCTAACAAAGTAATAATTCAAACCAGTGTATTTAAACAATATATGAAGAGTGTGTCTGCTGCCTGGTGTGGCCTACAGTCAACAACGTCCTGCTGAGAAATCACATCACTAAAAAACAGCACATTTAAGTGCTAATGGTGATTATTCAAAAGAAACTTGAAATTAAAATAAAGCTACATCCAAACATATTTTAATCATATTATTTTAATAAGAATTCTATTGTTTCTTCCACAGGTGGCACAGCAACAAATTTATATGGTCAGGAGTATATATCAGGAGAATCTGTGTGTCTCATCCTAAGAAAGAACCGAAAACTTCAATAATTTACTTTGAAGATATTGCATACTGAAGAATTCAGTTCAGTTAAAATAACTTGAAAATAGTTTGGAAAAGTTTCAGATTAGAAATCTAAAAGTAGTTAGCAACCTGTACTTTTTCCAAGTTCTGTCAGCCAAGAAATACAAAATATTAATTGTAATAGACTGAAAAAAATCAAATGCGAAGTCAACTCTAATGACGTGTTTCTAATTGCTACACATGAACTTTGCTTTTTTCAGTGACAACCACAGTAAATTTACATCGTTTATATTTCACGGCTTAGAAAGAAGGAATCTCCAAATAAAATACTGAATGTTAACTCTATTACGCTGCATACATTATCTACCTTAAAAGGAAAACACCAATCAAATTTTATCGATGTACAGAAACCATAGTGTGCTGAACAAACACTGTAGTAAAGATATGGAAAATTTACAACGATCAAATTCCTCCCAATGTCATCAATCACCTCTTCTTAGCTCCATACACACTATGTGACCATTCTAACATCATACTGGAACTATCAACCTGATGAATTTTTGGTTTGTTGTTCTACCTGTTTGCCTTATTTATTTATTTAAAAAAACCCCAAAACTTTACCTGTATTCATTTCCAGATTGGTTTTACGAAACTATTTATATAACTAATTCAAAGCATCTAAACATTAAACGTAACATTGCCTACAGGATTTATTTCAAAAATGATCTATTAGTAAGAAGGAAGGAAGGAAAAGCCAGTGTCACACTTGGCAGATACTTTCTCTACATCTAACCTTCCCATCCATGTATGCTATTGTTTGTCACCTAATTGATGAGATTCTTTTCTGCTGAAATACGTTGAGTAAACCTCACATTGCCTTCAGTGGAACTAGAGCTCACCATACATCTCTTATGGGCAAGATTATAAAAGATAAACGTGAAAGACCCCTAATACAGTTAAAGATTCTAGTTAATTCCTGATCTACCACTCTCAAAAATCCTTATTTTTAATTTCTTTAAACATCACTATTGATTTAAAAAACTTGAAAATGTATTCATTAGGATATTTCAACTGCTGTGATAACTTATGACATTTATAAATACCACTTTCAGATCTTTGGCAGTTGATTGACCCGGCCACCAGACAACTTTCAAGGAACTGGCATTCACCATTTATCTACTATTTGCAATAGTTTAGCAAGATTCTTTTCCTATAGAGTGTTTGAGTTATTTTTCCAATACATATAATTACAAATTTTTGCTGTACGCAAGCATTTTCTCTGATAGTTATTTGATGCACTTTGTTTCTTAGCTAGAATTAATGCTCATTATAAGTCTTTCCATATGAATGACATACAGTATTGATAAGTGTACTTAACTTCTATTGTTTTATCTTTGCTCTCCCTTTTATACGACACTTCTCTTTATTTTGAAAAACAAATTACAGAAGTGGTAGTCGTACACAACATTGACAGTTGTACAAAAGGGAAATTTTGTTTATTTAAAGTTAGTAACAGTATGAAAGATCATGAAAGCTTTATCATGCATATGTTCTAGGATCTATTCCCAGGCTTGCTACAAATATCCTTTGGAATCTTCAAAAAGCATCTTGGTCTGTCTTCATTTCCCTTTCTGTACCCACACTGCAGAGTCTTCACGTGCATTTCCAATGCACTCACATTCTCATCTGACATGCAATGTTTAAAAGACAAAGATATTGCAATCATTGCATGTCAGGTCACTACTGTACTTTTCCCCAGTCATGCAACAGGGAAGCAGTTGTATGGCTGCATAATCCTAGATGCACCCAGCTGAAAGCCCAAAGGGCTCTGCCCAAGTCCAGAGCTCACTTTCAGCAGATGAAATTTAGTTTCACAGACTTCAAATGTAAGCACAAACAGACAAGCTTTTCTAACTTAAACCCAGCTACTAGAGAGCTCTAACAGTTGAACACAACATTAATAAGTTGTTTATGCAGAACTTCATTGTTATTCAGATGCTGAAAAATGACACTACAGCGTGAGAACTAATTTTATAAGGTTATTAACCGTAACAGATAAGTTAAACACAATAACTACCATGTTTTACGGATAGTGACGTTAAATATAAACTCAAACAACACACTATTAGAATGTCAAATATTCATTCATTTATAGAAATTATTTTTCAGTTATTATATTGAAGTTGGGCATTTTTTAAAATCTAATGCAAGATGTCAACTTCTAAGAATGCCAATATACTGGTGCTCTACTGTAAAAATTTAACTGCCTTTTTGGCAGATTGAAATAGATATGCTTCTATTATACTGTAGTAGTTTATGCCTAATAAATTTAGTTACAATTAATTCACACATGATTATTATAAATGCTAATTTTCT